ATGAAGTTAGGCCTGTATCATGGATGTCGGAATTGGTCGGAAGAAGTTAGGTAAGAAATGCAGGCATGATTTGTATTTGATAAACAGATAACAGATATGCAAAGGACGTGAGAATATTATAATTTATATTTCAATCTATAATGATGCGAGTTTGTGAGTTTTTTTATTAACGTGGACGGACCTTTTTTTTTCCTTAAAACAAAACATTTCCAGCGGTTATCTGTTTGTACTTTGTACCAATTACTCCTGAGCTGAACTAGTTTAATTGTCGTGTGTTATTTGGTACCCCTGTGGTGGCAGGTTGCAAACATTATCAAACTTTGAGGTTATGTTTTCAGTATAAACGGAATAAGTTCACTGGGCGTGACCTGCGTTTGTATTATCTGTTGATAGTTTCAAAACCGATTCACTGTAACAAGCACGTTGAAATAGTGATTTCTGTCTGTAATTAGGCGAGGCACGGTTGTCATGATCGAGTTGGCGGTGAAAGGTATAAGAATACTTTCGTATCTCTGCGTCGTGTCGCTGAGGATGAGTGCAGAGATTACCATTGACACTATACGAAGTCTGGATGAGAACACTGGATTAGTACTTTGTGTTTTAATGTAATGACAAACGATGTTTCTAAATTGTAATTTAGAACGGATAGAACTTCAGGTTAGGACGACCAACCCTTTCACCACAACACTTTTAAGATGGTAGCGGATTAGGACGAATTTTCGTAAACAAACTAGGGATATTTGAAGAACGGGAGGTTTGACGGATAAGGGATTTTGGTATTAGCTGTGTTGAACCTTCATTATCTTCTACCAGAGAATAACTTCCTTTCTAAATGTTAATGAATTACATTATACGAATGTTATGTTGGACAGACACCAATATGTTCTTGTAAAGGGCATTAACATTACAGATACCTCACTGTTGTACATTTAGGGTATAATCGACGTACTTTGTGAATCTTCGCCCTAATGATGGAGGCAACAAACATCTTTGAAACTTCGGCGAGCTTCTACAAGACAACACGTAGTACAACCCAGAAGACAGCCATCTTCTATATGAGCGACTGTTAGCTTCTGAATATGGATTATGCACCGTTGAGTGAGAACGTATCTGTCCTGTATTGGAGAACAGCTTCATACTCCTTTTATAGTGAGAATAATAGAATTTTATTCTGGTGCAGTGATGACAGTGAATGGGTAAGTGGATAGTGATCATTGTGGCCGCGTTTAGGACAACAGCCATCTGAACATCCATTTCATAACTGCGGTCATATGAAGATTGCATTAAATCTGTGACGAACGCTGCAGCGGGTCGTGATGGCTGAAGGGAGGTTCAAGCTCTCTCCCAAGGCCTGATTTAGATCGTCCGCACACCAGAGTAGAATGATCGTGCCACTGTCTGGTTGTCCGGACACCGCCTAAGGAGTCTCTGCATTCTCGCTTTATAAACGTTCTTTTTCTGTTTTGGATGTGAGGTTCCCACGGCAGTAAAGATTTTGATGTGTGTCTTCTGGGTGGTAAAGGCTTGTGGACTTGCTGGAAGACACAAACGTTGCAGATGAACATAACAGCCTGCGTATTAATGGTTGAAGATGAAGACAGAATGTTGCACCAACACTTTGATATATACCTTCAAGTCCACACAGCGTAACTACCCTGAAGATGGACACCGATTTGCTTTCTGGTTCTAAGAAGACCAATTTAAGATGTGCCCTTTTCTGTATTGTTATGTCCGGGCGAAGTTTTGCAAGCTTTGTGGAAGTCACTACTTAGATTTCTTGAATTTGAGTCTTTCGTAACATATGAGGCAGACGATCATTTATTTATTTAAGATGTGCCCTTTCTCAGTGACTCTTTGCTTGTTGAGACCACTTGGAGTCCATGTTAGGAGACGGTCTCTTTGGGAGAGAAAACAAGTCTTTTCATCCAACATTACTTTCCATTGTGGCCGTGATTATCATATTGTCTGTGGATATAACATTTTTGCAACGTTAAGTGTAAAATATGAATTATATTGAATTTTGAAGTGATGCATATCAAAATTAATTTCATCTAACAACTTTAAGACTCTCTTAAGTTTTCGCAGAAGAATTTCGATGGGTATTTTCGTTCGTTTTCTTCTGTTGGCTAGACTGACCCAGTTATGATTTTGAAAAAGCTTTAGTTCAGAACAGTTACAGATTTTCTCTCGTAGTTGAACTGTTCACTTTAAGAAAGGCTGGATCGCTTCTGAAACACTCATAAATTTGATCAGACGGTGGCCAGTTTATTTGTGTGCCAGACAGTCACTCGGAATGAGTTCGAAACACATCTGATTAACTTGGAATTTAAAAACATTAGACAGGCAGTACATCCAATACCCTCATTCTACGTAATGTAATCGTCGTCAACATATTATCATCAACAGCAGAAAGAGTAGGGAGAGAGACAGTTCCAGCAAAATCATCACAGCATAACTCATAATTTAGCTGTAGCATCATTATTCAGTGGTATAGCAATGCAAATTCTGCAGTTACCGTGAATAATTTATGAGAATGTCTTAACTTTCATATGCAGTTTCATCCATTATTCTTCTATTTTCCTTTTATTGATGGAAATGAAATACTTGATTTGTTACATCCGCCTTACTGTATTTTATAACTTGAAACTTGTTTTATTGGCATATCGTGTTTGAAAGACTTACTTATAAGCGAACAGGAAATTCGCTTCAAAGATTGCTTTTTTATTCCAATGTTTACAACATTATCTATCAGGCAATTGTTGAAATTTGAAGGTTCATACTTTCAAGTTTGTCCACCGTTCGTTGATAGATGATTTGATCATCAGTGAACAACAAGGTTTTGTGAGGGAAAGTTTGTTTTTTGTGTTTATATCCCTGTGTGAACTCATTCTTTTTTTTTCTTCCAAACGTTACAATGTTACGTCGTGCCTTAGGACTTGCGTAATATGGATAAGTGATTTGAAACATCGATGACTTACTTGCTGTTGTCATAATACTCGAAGTCTCCGACGTCACTGGCTTCCGCGTAAAAGGAAGACTCACATACTAGTCTACGCATTCCAACGACATTACCGACATAGGAACTGGGACAGCGAGATATGAAACACTTATCCTGGAAAATAATGTTTCTAGCATGAATTATATTTTGCTGTTTATGAT